GCTCGGCTAATCCACTCTCAAATAGAGGCTCTTGCTCCTTTTATTTTCTATTGATTATTTGAATGTAATACAAGACAATACACAATCCGATTAGGGCTCTTCTTTTTTTTCTCCCTGTCTCTCGATGAGGCGTTACATAGTATTTATAAGTCTGCCCCCTATTCCGTGGGATTTCAGTCGAGATCTTTGCCCATTATTCATGGGATCCTCCTTGATTTTAGGAGGGAATCTTAGTTGGTTGAGAGTTTTATGCATGGGGCCCAATTTTCGCAGTCGTCCAGCTGTTTCCTGGTCGGTTCAGCTATGATCTCCCCAAGGGGAGCTCCACCCCTGGTTCTCTGAGTTCTTCATGTCTTTCCTGACCTCCTGACCTGACCTCCTGACTTGAGCTCACAGCTAGGGCTTATTTGAGGTATTATCAGTGTTAGTGGATGCTCCTATAGTACATCTCAGTCCACGTTGTCTCCTCAAACAAGGAGCTCGCTGGAGAAACAAAGTGTTCATACAAGTCTTATGATAAATCTTCCAATTTGCCATTTACCGCAAGATTCAGCTCAAATATAGCACAGCAGCATTTCTATTTTATTTAGAGATAATTGTACCAGAAGGCAGCATTTGCCGGTGCCCAGTTGTTACATTTGTCAATTGAGTCATAGTATTTGGTAACCTGCAAAAACTCCTTACACAATTAGTTAATAGTACCTACTACTATTTCCTAGCATGGAGTTCTGAAACATACCTATGTCAATTTTTACAATTATCACTTGTGGTACAGAATGAAAAACAGAAGCTATCTATTTAATTTCTGCAAATTAGGTATCCCATCTGTGAAATGACCTTCACATAACCTAGTTAAAGGTAACAAAGGATTACAATTCATGGAATCTCAAATAATGGATCCAAAATAATATATTACTCAAAAGTTTCACCCCATCAATTTTATGATTCTCTCTCTCTCTCTCTCTCTCTCTCTCTCTCGCACACACACACATCTCCCCATTTCCCTCTGATTTTTATGTCATTAGTTTTCTACAGATCCACGCTGTTATGCATAAGCCTTTTTATTTTTATTGCAGCCTTAAATATAGAAAAAATAAGAACACACACACACACACGCAGATAGAGAAGATCAAACTACCTTCATCAAAATTGGTTTAACCAATTTTAGTTATCTTAGCACATTCAAAATGACCAAAACACTCATTAGGAGCAGCTGAAACAATAAAATAAACTCTGATCTAAATATGCACAATGAAAAATATCAATTTGAACTCTTCCAAGTGAACAGAACTAAATATCTAAATATGCAAAAGGAAAAATATCTAAATAAGAGTACGCACTGAATGAGGATCATGCTTGTGACGTTTACCAATGTGTTTCTCATCAGACTTTTTTCCTGTAACAACATCAGCCCATCAGATTGATCAATGTTTCAGATTGGTGAGAAATCATTAAACTAAAAGCATTCTCGAATCAGATGAAAAATGGTAAAGAAAAAAGAAAACTGATTATTGATCTCTACCTACAGAACCAGCCATCTGCCTACCAATATATATGTTTTTGCACGACTAAAATACATGATATAAAGTTCAGTCCAGAAGAGTTCACCTCATTCTTCTCATTTTCCATCAGTTTGTCCACAAGGTGAGAACCAATAAACCCAGCTCCTCCAGTAAAAGAGATGTACCGTAAAAGAGATGGAGGAATGGCAAGAGAAATGAAAAATGGTTTGGGCGGGAAAGTGGGTGGAGGGGAAGATAAGGTTTTTGTGATTTGCAGACCACAATATTCACCAGAAAATAAAAAAATAATATATTGTAATTTATGGGGGTGTAAATGTAATTTACATCTAGAAGAATTAAGACCAACCGTAGAAATGGGCGATCGATCTGGGGTTGATATCACACTTCTATCCCTTTTATCCCTCAACTATCACATTTGTATCCCTTAAATAATCAAAAAATTCCTGACTGTAGTCCAAAAATATTCAATATTTTAAAATAGTCCCACTTTTAAAAACCAAACTGTTTTCAATTTTCTGTTTTCTGATTGATTGAGTTATAACTTTGGGGGTTGGTTCAAATTGTTTAGGGTCTAATTTTTTGGGTTAGGTTTCAACTTTTCTTGATAGGGGTTCAACTTTTATGATGGATAAATTATGTTTTCTAACCATAGTGTGTCCATTTCCATATACATCTTACCATACACATAATCCACATAGCATATAGCACATGACATGTAACAAGTAAAGTACACAACATGAAATGCATAATGGATGCAATGGTCTAAACTCATGCCCCTCAAGCCCTACGTAAATCGTATACCTAAGCTCTGATACTAAGTTATGACGCTCCAAAAATCGGGGGTCCTTTGTCAATCCGTTAATCACCCATCAACCCGCAGAATACCCATGGATACCGTGTTACTCGATCTCACGCCGTTATGCCCCATTTACCGGGATCTATAATTTAACAAAATTTGGGTAAAGTCTCCTTTGTACGAGGAGCTCTACCCAAAAACACAATTTTTGCAATCATATAACATTATCCACACCGGGTCTATTTATGAGTAACCATTTACCACACTGGGTCCATTCATGAGTAAACATTGGCTACACCAGGTCCATTTATTCATACCCATATAACCACATACAATTTTTACATTAAAAACAGTCCATATAAGTTCGATTATAATTATTTTATATTTACATCCCAAAATGGGATTTTCACAAAAATTATACAAAATGAGTAATAAAAATCACAAGTCGGCCTTCTTCACCCTTGAGACTCGAATTAGGAGCCATCCGTCGGTGTGAACCCCGCATCTAAAATATATTCACACAAAGGGTGAACCACGCTCAATAGGGTATCTCCTAAAAAGGCTACTCCCCAACTTAGATGCATATAAAATGTTCACATGCAACAATCAACCATTCAAAACATTCTCATCAAGAATATGCATTCAAAAACAAGAATCTCATGTTATGTCATGAAATGAGATGAAACTCACTCATGTACATCTACCCAAACCTTCAACGGCTCCCTTAACACATGCAATTGTCATGTATGAAAACCGGGCTTTCTAAACCCCCGTCATTGATGTTACACATCAAATGACAATTTATAAACAAAATCATGTGTTTTTATTGGGTAGAAAACTTTTGGTGTCGCACCGCCGACTCTGCACACTGATACATTTTTTTGGACTTTCACCGTTGGAAGTGTATAAACCAGTAATCGGGTCTTGCACCCGAGAGAGAGTCTAACCCTTCTTGTTATACCTGATACAAATTTTTCATACAATCGTGTGACTCAATCGGAACTTTGTACCAACTTTTCCCAAGCCCACTCATCATCCACCAAGTATGGTATTTGAATAAACCATGTATACACACACCAATACTTATGCTCAATGCTCATGAATGTGATGCCAACATTATGTCCAATATGTAATGAATGTCAGATGAACAATTTCTACCATTCTATTGCCAATTATATCAAAAATATATAATTTTTACACTTATCATAATGCTAACATATCATAAGGCATATATTACATCACACCCATAACAAGTCCTTAGCATGTTATCACATTATCAATGCAAATATACTTGATTTCACATTTGCATTTAATTCAAACACCTTCAAGACATCCAATCATATCATTACATAATTTGTCCAATTAATCACACAACTTAAGAATCACATTAGATAATTTCCACATACTAATTCATGATAGAAATTATTTTACCCATTTTCAATACTCATTTCACCAAATTCTCAACAATAGGCAAGTGTTAAAATTCTCTAACAACTTACTCATTCCATATAATCATTCTAGGTTGAAAATAAACCTAATTAGGGAGAAAATCCTACCTCTTGAAGCATAAAAAAACGTTGGAAAGCTCCAAGAATACACCCCCAAGCTCAAACATTTATTTCTCCAAAACCCCATCTCGAAAACTTCAGTGAAATTCGCTCTTTTTAGTACGTAGGCGTAGCTCTCGACGAGTAGAACAACTTTGATTCTTGGCTCGTATTGATTTGAGCACCGTAGGGCCGTAGATCGTGAGAGAATGTTAGGTTTCTCTCTTTCTCTCCACGTTGAAGACCCAATAGATTTGTGGGAAAGAAATTTGATTTCTTTCGCTTTTTATACTCCTCAAATACTAGGTCCTCATCGTGCCATACTGGTCTCCACTTTCGGTTTTGGTTTCAGTTTTGATTCGAAACGATTAAATTTCACCGTAGTTCAAATTTAAAATATTTTTATTTCAACTTGCTTTAAATTATTTTTTAACTTTTAAAATTTTATTCAAAAATTCATTTTTTGGGTCACCTGAGGCCCGATTGCCTCGTAAAACGTAAAAAATTCAACTATCTCGGAATTTGACGAAAATTGACGGAGTAGCTAGATTTCGCGAGACGAATCCAACGGTGAAATCCGTTTCGTCATCCGAACTCTAGAAAATTTCAGGATTGCAACCCGTACTATAGTGACAAATTACCGTTTTGCCCCTTTTTCATAAAAGTTTAAATTTACCCGGGTTTTAGTGTCACAAGCTCAACATCTATGAACCTATGCATCGCAATACATAAGCGCTTAAGAAGCATACGACCGAACAGTGTAAAGGGAGTCTAGATGTTCAGTATTCAAAATGTACAAGATTGAAAGTTGGTATTAATGATTAAACTTTATGCCCATGGGTGTTCATCCTCAGCCAAAACCGGGTACTATGCGACAAAAAAGCTAGACAAATTCCCGCATGAATTGCTTAACTCTTGCTACCTTCTTATTGTGCCTACAAAAAAACTAGAGGCTGAGAAAGCCTGACTACTTCTAGTCCCATGGCTCTTCGGGATTTTCCTCTATGGGATCAACATGTATTTCCCAAGTATGAGTAATATGGATGACGAGTAACCAGATTACAAAAACTGAATCAAGCGTTGCAAGGGTTCTAGTTTTTCAAATGATGGAATTTCGTGTTTCATTTGTGTAGTTCAAATTAAAACAGAAGATCCTGCCACATACTCCTCATTTGGCAAATGAACTCTACTAGAAATCACAAAACTGCAGAATCCAAGAAGCAGCAAATGCAGAATGCATTCCGCATATATCACCATTCATGGAATTCTATTTTATCTCAGGTAGAATGAAACTATCATAAACAAAGTAATTGAAGGAAGCATGGATAAGAACTTCCACCTTCTCATGTATGACACTGCATAGATACAGAAAGGACCGACAAAATAGTGGAGACCTTGTAAGTAGTTCTACTGTTAATATCACATTCTGAAGGGCAAAAAAGGAATTAAAGAAATTTTAGTGTTATAATCTACAATGTTTTGAGTATCACCTTTGGGTCCAATTGCAATTTAGTACTTGATCACATGGTGGCGTAACCAAAGGTCATACATAACCATATGGAAAGCATCATATCTGACAGGAGGGGAATTCCACTGAAAGTGCTTCTGGACCTGATAAAAACATGTCAACAAGATAATAAATATAACCCTCATTAGAAACAAGTTTTATGTCACCTAGATCCTAATGCAATTGCAATCTCATTAAGAGAGAGAATATAATGAAGGAATAGCAGCTTGAAATAAAACCATGTCATTTTACATCTGTCAAATGTAAACATGGAATCATTCTTTTAAATAGACTGTATTTACAAATGGAGATTGAACCCTTTTTCTCTAACCAAAAAGCATAAAATGAGTCAATGAAAAGATTACCTGAACTAAATTATTGTGTAGAGCAATAAACTCTGCATCAGTAATGTTCTTGAGAATTTGCTTCAGCTGATATACATCATTCTCCTTGAGTATTACCGAGAATTTTCGCCAGTCAACAATATCATTGAAAGGCAGATCATAGTAATTAGACAGCACGACTGCAGAAAAGTTACACCAAAATCTAATTAAGATAAACAATCATAAGACATTGATAGGGAGGAAACAGCCCAGGAAAGAATAGTAACACTACGATTATAGAGGCAATTGTAATGCAAGATTTGTAAATTCTCAGAGTCCAGTACTATGGTGTCCCTTCTAAGTTGCAAAAATATTTGGATAGTCATCAATCTTTCGGCATTACTTAACCACCCTGGTGTTTAGGGTTAACTAATGGCAAAAGATGGGGAATTGTATGTCTGGAAAAGGACCACTCAAAGTATTAGGCAACATTATGCAATCATCGAGAGCATTGGCATAGTGATTACAGCAAAGGCATTTGCAAAGTGCTTTCCCCAACATTATGCAATATGGATATAGTCTTAGCACCCCGGCATTGCATTACTCAATAAAGACGTAATGTCTGCAGGGTCCCTTCTTGATGGTGGAGAGAGATGTCATGGCAGCAAAGCTCCTTGTACATGTTCCATCAATTTTTCACAAGTCTGTTTGTGAAGGCTTACATTCTACGCAGATGAATGTAGGGTTAGCTATATCTGGATTGTTTATGACAACTAATAAACTATTTGTTAAGAGGAAGTGAGGCACAACACAACCCACCTAATCTTGAGAAACTATCGTATTCTCAATATCTCTTTGGCCTAAGCAAAATTCTGGAAAGTAAACCTTCTTATCCCTGCATTTGTCTTTGTTTTATCCGTGCATCCATAATAAGCCTCTCTCTCACTATCCAATTGAGCCGCACAGCGGAAGAGACAAAACCGAAAATAACCAAAATATACTGTTCCAACTGCAAAAAAGAATTTATTTCTCACCAGGGATGCATCCATAATGGATTGAATCTGCTATGCGAGCACTGTTGACCTGGGAACCACCAGGGCAGATGCAGAACTTAGTCCTATAAAATTTCTTTTGATATACTAGATGTCCAGTAGCTTTGTTTATTCTGTTGTTCGCAATATCAAGTTCTGTGTCATTCTCCCATTCACGTGCAAGTATAACTCTAATTTTAGAGTTCCTGTGACCAGCCCAAAAACCAAGAGTTGTCCTGCAAAATCTTGCCGTCAGTTTCACACAACATAGTAACAAATAAGATAATCAGTGCACAAGAAGACAGTACAATAATCACTACGAACTCCAAGGTCTGTAATCACTACGAACTCCAAGTTCTGTACATGGACACAGGCTGAAAGGGATCAAAAAAGAGGGGATTGCCCCCTGGCCTCTGATGTCCATATAAAGGACACAACAAGCATAAATACCATCTTTTAACTTCTATTCTGATCGATTAAATATCTTTTATAAGGACTTCGGAGGAAGATGCGACGATTTTTTTTCAGGAAATCACTAACGAAATATGCACACTATTCCTTCTTTTCTATTGAATCGATCATAACCAACCTACATTCCACGAAATTGTGCACCACAGATAGAAGCTAATAAAGAGACCGGTGCAATCCCTTGTGGAAAAAAAAAAATTGATGAGATGGAGATAAAGATATCAAATTTCTACCAAGATAACTACAAGTTTGAACCAATAAGAATCCTAATGAACCTAAAAAGGATAATGGCCCACTATAAATTACGTGCTTTTCGAGAACCCATTATAGGTTCTATCCATAATATATGTTTGGATGTCAACTCATACTTGATCTAATTATATTTTATTGAAATTGAGAGAAGACCCCAAATGCATTTGACTTTACTATTATTGTTTCCAAAGTAACTCCCATCAACTAGCACTAGTTTGTTGTGAACCATTAGGAGTCATCCATCAAATTGGTTAGATCTAAAATTTACAATAACAACAGACCTTTCATATGATCCTACTATAGATATTGACATACATATAGATACGTTAGCTTTACATTTCAGCCATCCAGCGATCCTGATCTATTTGAAAATAGCTAAAAGTTCATTTACCAATGTAGCACTTTCTGCAGGCATAAGAATATTGTAGAAAGAATGAACATAGTCCTTATAAGCAAATAGACTCCTAAAAAAAGGCATCCCAAACAGGAGCACATTATGAAGTCAACAAAACAATGTGAGTTGCGGGATCAAGCAAGCTATCATGGAAATTCCACCATCTAATTATATTTTGATACCCTTCATCTTTAGATGCTCACTTCAATATCCAAATTACACACTTGACGTTTACTCCAAAGCTGTCACCAAAGGGTGGAATGGAGCACACATATACATTTTTCGCCATCTTTTCAAAATCAGCACACAAATAAAGGAAAACAGCAATCATTCACTTAGAGTTTTTAAAGTTCATTAAATTAGATTACCATTTCAAGATTATTTACTACAACGTGGAATGAAAGTTTGCATACATTGGCCCAAAGGTAATTGAGCTATTACAGCATGATTAGGTCCTAATAGCCTGGGTATGAGCAACATGTCTTATAACAGCTGAAATTGAACAGCACAGGATGTTGTGAGTTGATCGCTAGACCTAAATCGAGAAAATGCCTTCCACAAGCACCAACATCCATTTAATTTAAGTCAAAGGGATATTTTAAACCCTCGTACACTTCTAATAAAAGAGAACCCTCCTTTTTAGAGAACTGACAGCACAAGTCTAAATCAACGTATAAGTTACCACTAGCATGCCAAGGCCTTAAGGTCCATATGAGATCCTGACTATGTCATTGCATGTCCACTTATCTACTAAACTAGATAGGTCTGGTTCTTTGGTCATTGCTATACCTCACCACGTTTATTTCATGCATTTTCATCCATGATTTCCCCTAGGGCAAACCTTCCATAAGACAGCAACCAAGCAGACAATTTCAATTTAAAGCAAATAGGAGTTTTCCAATCTGAATAATTAATGAAATTTAAACAAATAGCTTTAAACTCGTGTTGAATTCTTTGATGGCAGCTGATGAGACATGAAGAACGAGCCCTGCCAAAAGAAAAATCCACATCAAAGGCATATAACAAGGACATTAGCTGGCAATGAATGAATATTGCTCTCAGTGACACATTTTTCTCCATGAAGCACAGTGTACCTTTAAACTTTGACACAGTTATGAACCAAAGCTCCAAAATAATTTAACAGATTTCTCCTTTACCCAGGTACATAACCATTGAAAGAAGGTAGGAATTTCTAGTCGATTTACCACTACCAAGATGGAAACAAAATGCAGTTTGACAACAGTAAGGGCAAGGATCAAAATTTCGTTTCGAAGTACCGTTTCGGTCAACTCAAAAATAGAAACGTTTCGGAAACATTTCGGAAACGCAATGGAAACGCAGAAAAAATATGGAAACACATAGAAACACAAATGCAATCCATTAATTTATAAAGATATGCTAAATAATTTATTAATTCAACATATTTATTAGGTTAACATCAATTTATACAAGAATAAATTTAAATTTGAGGGAAAAAAAGGCTTGACTTGAGGCGAAAGTCACTTAAATTAGTTTCAAACACTTAATTTTTATGAAATAAACACATTTTTACATAATATTAAGGTCTTATAATACACATGAAATGCTAATGAGTACATACTTACATGATTACATCCATTCCCCTGTGGAGTGTCGAGCAGGCTCATACATCGGTGTAGGCTCTGGGTAGCTACTTAGAGAAACTCCATATGTGACATAAATATGATGACAATAGTTACTCCAAATCATATTATTACGGTAATATAATCCAATTAATAATACTATTTTATTATAATACTAATAATGAAGGGTATCAAATTAAATTAATGATACTTATGTATACTTAAAAATTAAATGTAATTGCAGTGGGTATTAAATGTAATTACAGTAGGTATTAAATATAATTACATTAGGGTATTAAATGTAATTGTTAATACTTATAACAAAAAAAAAAGTAAAAAACTTGCACAGCAGTGAGGTATTAAATATAATTACAGTATGTATTAAATATAATTATAATGGGTATTAAATATAATTATAGTAGGGTATTAAGTGTAATTATTTATTCTTATAACAAAAAAATTATAAAAGACAGAAGAGCAGTGGGAATTAAATGTAATTATAGTGGGATATTAAATATAATTATAGTGAGTATTAAATGTAATTACAGTGGGTATTAAATGTAATTATAATGGGGTATTAAATATAATTATTCATAATGAACCGAATATATCACTGTTTTGTCGAAACGGTACTATTTCGATCGAAACGGTTCGAAACAATGCCGTTTCGATCGAAACGGTCCGAAACAGTACCGTTTCGACCGAAACACTGGAATTTTGTGATTCAACTATTGTTTCGTTTCGGAGTGTTGAAATTCCGAAACGTTTCGGACGTGTCGACACGACATTTTGATCCTTGAGTAAGGGATAACCCAGATGAAGAGTACAAATAACCAAAAACATGTTAATGGGGAAACTAGATTCAAAATGAGTGAAGGATGTCACAAATATTCATCCCAGCCAAGGATCAAAATTTCGTTTCGAAGTACCGTTTCGGTCAACTCAAAAATAGAAACGTTTCGGAAACATTTCGGAAACGCAATGGAAACGCAGAAAAAATATGAAAACGCATAGAAACACAAATGCAATCCATTAATTTATAAAGATATGCTAAATAATTTATTAATTCAACATATTTATTAGGTTAACATCAATTTATACAAGAATAAATTTAAATTTGAGGGAAAAAAAGGCTTGACTTGAGGCGAAAGTCACTTAAATTAGTTTCAAACACTTAATTTTTATGAAATAAACACATTTTTACATAATATTAAGGTCTTATAATACACATTAAATGCTAATGAGTACATACTTACATGGTTACATCCATTCCCCTGTGGAGTGTTGAGCAGGCTCATATATCGGTGTAGGCTCTGGGTAGCTACTTAGAGAAACTCCATATGTGACATAAATATGATGACAATAGTTACTCCAAATCATATTATTACGGTAATATAATCCAATTAATAATATTATTTTATTATAATACTAATAATGAAGGGTATCAAATTAAATTAATGATACTTATGTATACTTAAAAATTAAATGTAATTGCAGTGGGTATTAAATGTAATTACAGTAGGTATTAAATATAATTACATTAGGGTATTAAATGTAATTGTTAATACTTATAACAAAAAAAAAAAGCAAAAAACTTGCACAGCAGTGAGGTATTAAATATAATTACAGTATGTATTAAATATAATTATAATGGGTATTAAATATAATTATAGTAGGGTATTAAGTGTAATTATTTATTCTTATAACAAAAAAATTATAAAAGACAGAAGAGCAGTGGGAATTAAATGTAATTATAGTGGGATATTAAATATAATTATAGTAAGTATTAAATGTAATTACAGTGGGTATTAAATGTAATTATAATGGGGTATTAAATATAATTAATCATAATGAACCGAATATATCACTGTTTTGTCGAAACGGTACTGTTTCGATCGAAACGGTTCGAAACAATGCCGTTTCAATCGAAACGGTCCGAAACAGTACCGTTTCGACCGAAACACTGGAATTTTGTGATTCAACTACTGTTTCGTTTCGGAGTGTTGAAATTCCGAAACGTTTCGGACGTTTCGGACGTGTCGACACGACATTTTGATCCTTGATCCCAGCATAGCATCAATAAATCAACACCTTAAAATCAAAAAATAGTACCTATTTTTGACATCATTTCCTCCAGCTGGAAGAGCAAATGGTTGCAGTACTTGAGGGAGAGCAACGTCCTTGTGTGGAATGAATCCAACATCATAGCTTGGGGAGCACACAACTCGAATCGAATTCTTTACAAGAAATTGAAGTCCTTCGGTAGCCCTCACACCAACATCATGACAAGTGACAAAAAAATGATCTGCACCCAGGGTTCTATTCCAGTATGGATACTCCGATATCAAGCTCCCCACATAGTTTTCAACAATGATGGTCATGTTCTCATAGGATGTTCCCTGCAAGTTGTTATACAAGGATTACAACATAGAACTATAGAAGAGGCCTAAATCCCAGAGATGAAAGAAAATTCGACAAGAGAGCTAGTGCCATTGCAACTTAACAAAACTTACCAACATTATTCAAGTTAAAGGGATTGTCGTACTCATATGCATATCTTCTGGGTTCATAGGCTTAATTAAAATTCACATAACCAAGTATACAAGCACTCACAGCAGAAAAAGATTCACAAAATGCTATAAGAACAATAATTCTTACAAACAACAGGGGGCATTTGAAAAATTAAGAGAGCAGAAAGAAAATTGACTTCAAGGAAAAAGAAATAAGACGAGAAAGACATTCTGAAATGTGCGTTACATTAGCTGGTTGGCAGAGAAGAAAAGACTACTTTAATGACACAAACTAACATAGATTTTTCTAACCCATGCAACCACCCTCCCTGCAAAAAAAAATAGAAAATAGTAATGAGTCAAGCCCAATACATGAAGTTGGAGGTGTCAACCTGCCTGCTTGTACATTTCCCACCTGAAGACAGCTTTAGAAACACTCTTAATGGACCTCGGTATTCCAGGTCATTGACCATATCTGATATATTTTTGGAAATACCCCCAAGGAAAGGTTAATTTGTTGATTTCAATAGCCCTAGCAAAATGTTTATCAACCCTATTACCAACTTTATGTGTCAGTACTTTCATAGGTAAAGACAACAATCTTACACGTGTATGCAGTTCTAAAATATCACCAGGATGCGAAATGTGAGATGGATGTGAACAAAACAATACTGAATCTCCTTTGTAGTGGTTGTACGTCCTCAGTATGAGCGGTCTTAATTGTTGTACATTTGTTGCAGCCACAATAATTCTCATAGTCAACAAGCCCAAAAATCCAAGCAGGAAAGCCCATGCAGAGAACCAACAGAAACTGATGCAAAGTATGATAATAAGAAAAGGAACGAACTGAAAGCTTCCTTGGAGCCCGCTTGAGATTTCAGCTAATGAAATTCATCCTGTCCTACCGGAACACAAAGCACATAAGAAAATACTGATGATGGACCAAAGAGAACTCCCAGTGATTTGGCACAAATAATGCTTTGCTTTTCTACCTTGTGATTTCATTCCAAAGGGTATTCATGCCTACATTAGAATGTTCTCTAATCTCATTTGACTGAATCAACTTGTTACTTGAACAATTATCTCGTATGAAACGCCAAAATTTGACTTATAACAAAATTCTTGTAAATTTTTCCATACATTAAGACAGACTTGCATGATAAAGTTCAGAGAGAAGAAGAAGAAAGCTTAAGAATTTTATTGGTACTGCAAGATTACAACAGACTAACAAACTCTCTAACTAAATAACTAACTGTACAACTGTCAAGATACTCTAACTAACTGAGTCTGTGAACACTCTCTTCTTATAGGAAAACGATACAGTGAGTTGGAGTGTGTAGGTGATGTTTTGGACTGGATTCTGGCGAAGTATCTTGTGAAGAGGTCGTTGTAATTTGTTGGTAATCAGACTTGTGAACTATGGTTTATCAGGTCCCCCTCAAACTAATGGGAGGAGGACCAGCCATTAGTTTGGGACAGAGAGAAGAAAAACACATGGAAGAAAGCCCTTTGGTAAAAATGTAAGCTAGCTAATCTTCGGAGTACACATTCTGAACATCAAGATCTTTGCGAGTAACTCTCTCTCTAATAAAATGAAAGTCTATTTCAATGTGTTTAGTCCTTGCATGAAATAATGGGTCGGATGCAAGAGAAATGGCAAAGATGTTATCACAGAATAGACGAGATACTTGAGGAACAAAAATTTGGAGATCACAAAGAAGAATGCAAAGCCAAGAAAGCTCAGCAGTAGTGATGGCAAGAGCCCTATATTCTGCCTCTGTGGAAGATCTAGCTACTGTCTGTTGTTTCTTTGCACCCCAATGAATGGGATTAGAGCCCAAATATCAAAGAAATCCTAATGTAGAATGCCTGTCAATGGGATTCCTTGCCCAGCATTAACAAAGGCTGTGAGATCCATGGTTCAAGGTATCGGCCGAGTCCGATACGACTCGGCCGAGTCGTATCTGCCTCGGCCCTTATCGATACGATATCGATACGCGGTCCACGAAAATGACGAATTGATCAGATATCGCCGATATCTCGGTTCAACTAGTTAGTATCGGCCGATATCAGAGGAATTCGGTTTAACTCGGACGAGTTCTACCAGAATCGATCCGAGACAAAAAAGCCTGTGAACAATCTCTCAAAATCTGTAAAAGCTTAAAAATCAATCACTCATTTTTTCAAGCTAAACAAAAATCCTAAAAAAAAAAAGAGGATGGGAAAGAAAGTAAAGATAGGATGGGAAATATAGCAAGACTAGTCTGCCGATACTCAAAAACCCATGTGAAACTTAACCGGATAGGGCAGAAACCACGTGAAATTGATAACCTAAACCCCTCTTTTTCAACTATAAAAACCAAGAGGACTAAGGATTTACCACATACCTCTTGATCGAACGAAATAGGGTCTACAATCTGCATCTTCTGTTTTCTCTTCGTTCTTCTTTCTCTTTTGCTGATCTTCTTCGGTGCTGTGACGATAGGCAAAGAATCGTTATTGTTGTGACGATCGGAGGGGTTCTACTTTTCCCTGTCTGCCTTTCTCTCTCGTTGTGACTCTCTACATCTCTCTCTCATCTGAGACGACTGTGCAAGTAGGTAGGTAGGGGAAAAAAAAATATGACTTAAAAAGTAATCCTTTTTTTTCTTTTTTCACTGAGTCTTTAAATATTTATTTTTGCCTTTAAAATCATATAAAAGCAATAGATCAAGTGATAGAGATCCAAGTTACCAACCGAGAAGTCATAAGTTCGATTCTTATATCTCTCAACTGGCTGTGGTTTTTTTCTGTTCAATCTGGCTTTTTACTTAGTCTTTAAATATATTTATTTGTCTTTCAAGTCATATAAAAGCAATAGCTCAGTTGGTAGAGGTGTTGTTACCAAACTGAAAGTCGTAAGTTCAACTCCTATGTCCTTCATTCAACAGACAGTTTTTTTCCTGTATTTTTTGGGTGCTGCTATTTTTTTTTTTTTTTTTTAAGGCTACTATGTTTTTTTTCACCTATTTTTTTTCTGCTGTTGCCTTTTTTTTTTTTTCAAGCTGTTTTTTTTTTGTGGTAAACAAAGTTTCAGTGTAAAAATTATATACATTAATATTTTATAATAATAATACATTAATGTGGCAATGATTATGGCTCAATATGTTCCTAAATGCCTACATTGAACATTGATAATGATAATTATTTTCGGTAGCGATTTTATGTTTAATGTGTTTTTAGATGTATTGTGTAAATATGATGCATGAATGATGATGTTTATATTTTTAGAATTTTTTATAATTTTTTCAAATTTTTTTGGAGCTTCTATCTTACGTTTTGAGCATATCGGCCGATATCGCGCCACGACCGATGTGTATCAGTGCCCTCCGAGTTGATGACCGATACCGCAACTTTGAACCATGGTGAGATCAAGAGAACCATGTTTATATAGTAAGCCATATGAGGTAGTGCCTTTCAAATATCAAAGAATACGCTTGACAACAGCCATATGAGTATTAGTTGGACTGTGCATAAATTGGCACACTATTAATAGAGAAGACAAGATCTAGTCTTGTAAATGTAAGATATTGTAAGGCACCAACTATACTGCGATAAGAGGGAGGGTCAGAGAGAGATAAGCCACCATTTTTCCTAATACAAGAGGAAGTGGCACAAGGAGTAGAGCAAGGTTTGCAGGTATCCATATGAGACCTGACTAGGAAATCAGAAGCAAATTTTTCCCGGAGATAAACACACCAGAAGCAGAGGTTTTAATCTCTAGACCTAACCAATGGCCCTTTGATCTAATGATACTCCTTATCTTATAAAGGCTTTGTCTTTTTCAGGTCAAGGGTTCAAGTCTCCCTCCCCCTTCTCCTAAAAAAAAAAATTTCAAGACCTAAGAAGGAATGCAAGGAGCCAAGGTCTTTCATGTCAAACGCAGTACTAAGTTGAGAAATGAGAGAATTGATGTAAGTAGAATCTGTATCTGTGATGACAATGTCAGCAACATAAAGAAGAAGGATAATAAGGGAGGTACTAATGGTTCTAACAAATAAAGAGGGGCAAGGTGAAGATGCTGTGAAATCCAAAGTTAAAAGATGAGAAGTGAATGTCTCAAACCAAGCCCGAGGTGCCTGTTGGAGACCATACATGAATTTGTTGAGCTTACAAACAAAATGTGGTGAAATAGGATCAAGGAAATCTGGTGGCTAAGTCATATAGACTTCCTCTCTAAGAGTGCCATGCAAAAGAACATTCTTCACATCTAATTGCCTCATAGACCATCCAAAGTGAGCTGCCAAAGCAAGTATAACCTTTATTGTTGGTTGTTTAGCAACTGGGCTGAACGTTTCTTCATAGTCAAGACCCTCATCTTGATGATATCCCTTTGCAACAAGTCGTGCTTTGTAACAAGAAAGAGTCCCATCAAAATTATGCTTCAGCTTTAGACCCACTTACATCCAATAATATTTTTATGTGAAGAAGGAGGAACCAAGGTCCAAGTAGCTTTCTTTTGAAGAGCTGAAAACCCCTCAATCATTGTTGTACGCCACTCAACAAACTTAAAGGCTGTAGAGAAAGAAGGTTCAGAAGAAACTAAGGAAGCAAGAAAGGCCTTCTTCTTTGTAATGCCTGACTTGGATCGAATATGCTTCTCTTTGTTCCTACGAACAGAATTGTTCCATTATTACCAACAGGCTAGAATAGATAGTAACCCTTACTCTGAAATAATCCACTGAACAAGGGAGGTCCATAGCATAGTCATAGTAGTATATTCCAATGCAATAAAATCACATAATGTCTATTTATTTAGTTTGCCTTAGTATCGTGTTCATACCGTTGTATTGAATGATCCCGATTGATTACTATCCATCCATATGATGCATGCAGCTCTGGTTGCTGGTTGAGCCAGTTCGATGGCTTTGTATATGATGAGATGCTATAAAGCACGGACACTCTTAAGAAGATGGCGTACACGTGTCGAACACCGACATCCATCGGACACGTGTCTAATACTCTTTTTTCTATATCCATAATTAAATAATAAAAAATTCATTTCGAACACGTGTCTGACACTTATTTTGACTAATAAATATCTTATATAATAAGAAAATATATAATTACCAAAACTAGGCATATTGAAATTGTACTCGAAATATAATAATAAAAGAGGAGTTGAGAAAATGAGAGCAATCATTCAAATTATATATGTCAAGTACACGTTATCTACAAAAAAAATTAATAATTATTGACTATTATGATGCTTTGGTCCAAAAATTCACTGTAGATTACTTAGACATAATATTTACCTGTTATAAAATACTGAGTTTCCTATGAACAATGTATCATTATCACTATATTTGTAATAAATTATATAGTTTTATATAGAAAACAATTATTTATAGTGTGTCCTCAACATGTCTGTATCTTACTTTTTTTAAAAATATCGTGTTTGCGTGTCCATTTCAGGTCGTATCCATGTATTATA